TTTAAAAAACTTTCATTTTGATGCTAGTTTTACTAAATCGACATCAACAGAAGAGCTACTCCATTTTTGTTCTGTTCTCTTGTGATGCGTGAAGATTTTATTAAGAAATAAACCGCTTACATCGATCTAAAACAGCTGTTGTTTATTGTTTACTTAATGTTTGATGGCATGTTCAGCTTTTGAAAAGAAACTTTGGAATCAAAATAACTTTCTGATATCTTCAAATCTCACTTAAAAATACCAGAGGAACTTAAAGACTGACAAAAATTATGACTTGGTTTACATCGCGATTTATATAAATATAGATTTTTTTTCACATTGCCCATCCCTACTTTATGACTTCAAATATTTTAATAATAATAATAATAATAATAATAATAATAATAATAATAATGCATTGAACTTATATAGCGCTTTTGTAGCTAGTCTGCCTCATTTAATTTTCAAGGAACCATGAATATTCAGATCCTCTCTTCTTTGTGCCGTTCACTGCTGGCAGGCAGAAGTCTTCCTGCAAGACACACAATCCCATCCTCGCTTGTAAACGGCGAGGTTCCAGAATACTGAAAATGCCGTTTATAGGATCCACACTTGTTCAGATAAATCCTCTTTGAAAAGCTTTTGTTTGTTGTAATGTCACCGGATGTCCATCCACCAGCCACGTCTGCATTTGAAGGATTAAGCTCCAGCGGCACACAAAGACCAAATCATGAGCTTATGGGTTAACCCTGGTTAAATAAATATATATTATTATTATTAATGATGACAACAACAACAACAGCAATTATTATTATTGTCATTTTACAGAAAAGGATTAGGGCCACAGAAAAGGAAAAGTGTCCAGACTTTTTTCTCATAAGTCAAAAGGTCAGAATTCTTTTCTGTGGCTTTAACCCTCTCCCGGATTGTCTGGTTGGAATTTGACTATTAAAGAATGGGAATAATGAGTTTCCATTGAGTAAAAGAGGAAAGGAACCACATACTTTCCATTTTAGAGCTTTATTCTCTTGATCGTTGCTCTGTTGTTGACTCCCCATCTTGACTGAAATCTATTTTCCAAACAAACATGGCAAACGTCTCGGTGCGTAGAATAATGTGTGCGTTCATTGTCCACAGGCCAGTTTGAAAAAGGACGGTGGCTTTAGCTGAAATCTCCTGTTCCGCAGAAACACTCCGGTGGTTAATTGGTTGGAGTTTAAGCAGGAAGCAGAAAGGCCGAGGTGATTTAAAATGACCCTCTCTTAGTGAGTCCTACTCAGCTTTCTTTATTGCAAAGGGCACCCAGAAGGCTGCAACAAGAAGTTTTAATGACTCCGACTCTCCATGGAAACAATGCTGCAGATGTTCTCACAATAAAATGGTTAAGACAATAATTTAACTATGTCAGCAAATACTTTTTAAAATTACCTTTAATGAACAAATGTGTGTATTCTTGGTTTCCCACCGTCAGAAACGTTTGAATTCAGTTAATTTTAAAAATGCATGAGTAGAAGAAGGCCTACAGGCTTTATTTAGGCTTTACCTGCTAAAGAGATAACTACTTTGTTACAAGGTCTACTTATGTTTCAGTAAGTGCTCTACCAACCAGCCTTAAATGCTGCTCTCTCTCCATAAAACTTCTAGATGTTTCCAGACGTTCACTAACTAGACTCATTTACTTTGTCCTTAAGGCGTTGTATAGAATATTTGACACGGTATTTATTACCCATAGTCTGCCCTGCTGTGCAGTTATGTTATCACTGTTGCCTCGCAGCTTGATTGTTGTGGGGTCATGTCCCAACTGGAACCGTTTCTGGGCCCAATCCCAATCCTCGCACTGCGTCCTACGGTCTTCAGCAAGTGCACTAAGAGGAAGTGTGCAGTAAGGCTTTGAGTGAGTAGTACACAAGTGTGAAAATGATATCTGAATTAGGACAGGGGCCGTTGCGTCATCGACCACGACGCATGCCTGGATGCTGGTCGCTGTTTGTGCTACTTTAAAAAAATCTTTATTAACAACTTTCAAACAAACAACTGACAAAACTTACGTTCATTGCCGTCCATATTAAAACTTTAGTCTAAAACATTCAGAGCATGAGTAAATATCATTAATCATATTAAAATTTACTTATTTTGTTTGAAAATACAGTTTTTCAGAAAAGGCCCTTGAGCCATTGTTCTGCCTTATTCTTAAAATTCCCACACAGCAATGGATTGTGTGTAATACCATTCGCCCAAGTCCGCATCGATGCATGGCCAACTTCCACACTTGAGGATCGGGGCACCCACTGGACTCGCACCCCTGGACGGGAACGTGGAATTGAAGTCCTCAAGGGTCGAAGTTTTGGGCCTTGCAGTCCTATTTCCTGACATTTATCTATCTCGCCTCTGATTGGCTAACAGCAACTCAACTCTACCACTGACTCAATTTGCTTTCCAACGTTGATGTTTTATCTACACAAATAACACATGCCTGGAGGAGTTCTGCCGTGTGGTGCAGTTGCTAATGCCAACAGTTAGCTTCTACTAGTCGAGGCGTTCTTTACTGTTTCCTGGACGCTAAAAGAGCAACAGCCTTCCCCATCCTGAGTCAAGATGGGTGAGAATGCTATTTTCAGTGTGACGTAGTTCAGTCTGGCTCTTTTAAAATGAGAGTTTCTTTGTCTATTTAGTACATTTGTTATTTTAACAAAAGTTATTTGATTCTGTTACCAGTTCTGTCCTGCTTTAGTCCAGGGGTGTACAAGGTGTGGTGTGCAGGCCTTTTGTGGCCCTTGAAGTCACTTTTTGTGGCCCTCGACTGCAGTTCAAGCACCCTAAAACTTTGTTCTAGGAGGTTCTTAGAGGGTTCCCTGCTTCAACACAGTTGAATAACCTGTTCAGCAGCTCATCAGACGCTACAGAAACCGGTTAATCAACTGCTGATTAAAAGCAGGTGTGTTGGAGCAGGGAAACCTCCAAAACGTGCTGGATAGTGGCTCTCCAGGACCAGGTTTCCCTACCCCGTTCTAAGAACACAGGCTGTTGGTGCAGATAGACACAGGGTAGGACGAAGCTGCGTACAGTTTCTACGGCTTCACCTCATTTCTTTTCCGTTCTCCACGTTTCTTACATTTTTTATATCAGAGTTTTTTTTCTTAATTTCTCTGGACCTCTTACTTGAGTGCCTTCCTCCCTTTCCCGCAGTTTAGCTAAAAAACTTTACTATCAGTTCTTTTATTTCAGCGTTCTCTCGTCGTGTTTGCTCCTCCCCCTCGCGAGAAATCTCCACACCCCCGTCCACTTCAGCAAAGCTTGCTAGTTGCTACACCATTGCCCACCTCCACTGCAGTTGACTCACCCATCACACCATAAACCTTTGGTCATTTCCTCTTTCTGTTCAGCGCGAGGACGTTTGTCAGGGAAATGTCAAAATATTTGCAGGAGTTATTTCCCCGGTGAATCGCAGGACATCACTCTCATGTTGCAGATTTTCAAACTCTTTAAAAAATTAGCAAGAAAACTTATTTTCAGTAGTCACTAGAATTCTCACAGGAACCTGGAACCAGTTTTGAATCCATCTAGAAAACCGCTTCAGCTCAGGTTCTGAGTCAGAGCATCTAAGACAACGTTGGGATGAGTTCATGACCCGTGAAGCAAAGCTGTGAGTGATTCAATTCAATTCAAGTTTATTTATATAGCGCCAAATCACGACAAGAGTCGTCTCAAGGCACTTCACATAATAAACATTCCAATACAGGACAGGTCATTAAGCCAATCAGTAAAAAGTTTCCTATATAAGGAACCCAGCAGGTTTCATCAAGTCACTGACTAGTGTCAGAGTCTTTACAGCAATCCTCATACTAAGCAAGCATTTAGCGACAGTGGAGAGGAAAACTCCCTTTTAACAGGAAGAAACCTCCAGAGGATCCTGGCTCAGTATAAGCAGCCATCCTCCACGACTCACTGAGGATGGAGAAGACAGAGCAGACACACACACACACACACACACACACACACACACACACACACACACACACACACACACACACACACACACACACACACACACACACACACGCACGCACGCACGCACACACACCAAGCAATGTGTTTATGGTTACATTGTGATTTCTTAGTAAATATTCTATTTGGTGAAAGATAAACTTTATTGTGAATCCATAATTAAACGGGTAAACTAGCAGTAACACGTCCAACGTCAAGGAAAGCAAAAAGTTATTATCAGGAGAGGGAGAATGTTTAAGTGGTTAGCAGCAGTGTGCTAGCCGATGGCCCCCTCCATGAGGCCACCACAGCTCAGCAGAACATCGTTGTAGCTTCTTCTGGGGAGAAAAACACTTAAGAGAGAAAATAAAGTTAACAGCTGAAATTGCAGGAAGTAATACAGTTAAAGAGCAGATTGTAGAAGAAAGTAGTCGAGTGTGAAAAGTGTTCAGTGTATCCTCCAGCAGTCTAAGCCTATAGCAGCATAACTACAGAGATAACTCTGGATAACCTAGCCTTTTAGATGGAGGCATGTTGGAGGCAGGGCAAGGGAGAGCCGTCTTTACCAACTGTACACTCCACCTCCCTGTACTCCCTCACTTGTTCAGATCTAGGCTAACATCAGATTTTAACCATAGGCTCTATCAAATAAAAATGTTTTAAGCCTAGTCTTAAAAGTAGGCAAGGTGTCCGCCTCATGGGCACAGGGAAATGTAAAATCCATTTTGTACAAACAGAAACAGGAAAAAATGAACACATTTAAGATCTGATTTGGAATATTTTCACGTGGGAGTACTTTTGGTTAAGTTATTATTCACATTTACTGTATAAAAGCTTACTGAGTAAAAAGCTTCTGTATGTTGATCTGAGGTTGGATTCTGATGGGTTCTGATAAAATCTTTGGCTTGGATTGAGCTTTTAATCCACAACTTTACCTTTTCTTCTCAGCAGGCTGAGAAGGTTTGCTGCCTGCTATCTGATTTATATTTGACTCTGTGGCCTGGGCTGACACATTGTCTTTCCTACTCATCCATCAGAGACCAGCTTTCTCCTGGGAAATGCCCAGATTGTGGAGTGGCCTGTAGTCTACAGCAATGATGGATTCTGCAAACTGTCGGGCTTCCACAGAGCTGAAGTCATGCAAAAGAGCAGCACATGCAGGTAAAAATCCCAATAGGGAGCCTAAGTCACGCCCATCTACTTCCGGACCACGGGTCCCTGGAAGAACGACAAAATGAATGCAAGTCAACAGAGCTAAAAACGCCTTTTTCTAATTCCGCTTGTTATGTGCCGTGGATTTCATATTTGATGTTCGTGACTTTTACGCTGTTTTACGATTGGGGGTAAACGTTGTGTAAAAATGTCCTGGACTACAATGTGCTTCATCAAAGTGTCTTAATCGAACCAGACAAGGAGAAAAAGGAAAACTTTAGCTCCTTCCTGCAGGAGGAAAGACCATAAATCTGGTCATGTGGTCCGTAGCAGCTACGCCAGGGGGGAGGAGGTTATGTGGCGACATACCGATGTCTGATTTGTAGTCATGCTAATTACGAACTTTTACAAGCTGATACTGGCGTGGTCGAAACACCCATCATTACTTTTATTTTAAACTGCAGTACAGCATATCTGTGAGCCAGGGCGTAAGGCAAAGCAGATTAGAAAATAGGCTAACGCTTCCTTTTACAGTCCCCTAATTACCAAGTACTTACAGGGCAAATACATAGTAAGTTAAAGTGTTTCTGAGTTCATAAACAGTTATTACCACGTAACTCAGGTTAAATTCTAGTTTTTATATTAATCATTCCCAGTAAATACTGCTTTACACAATAATTACACTTTATTACAATTATACTTTTAGATTACACTATAATTACACTTTATTACAATTATACTTTTAGATTACACTATAATTACACTTTATTACAATTTATACATTTAGATTACACTATAATTACACTTTATTACAATTATACATTTAGATTACACAATAATTACACTTTATTACAATTATACTTTTAGATTACACAATAATTACACTTTATTACAATTATACTTTTAGATTACACTATAATTACACTTTATTACAATTATACTTTTAGATTACACTATAATTACACTTTATTACAATTTATACATTTAGATTACACTATAATTACACTTTATTACAATTATACATTTAGATTACACAATAATTACACTTTATTACAATTATACATTTAGATTACACAATAATTACACTTTATTACAATTATACTTTTAGATTACACAATAATTACACTTTATTACAATTATACATTTAGATTACACTATAATTACACTTTATTACAATTATACATTTAGATTACACTATAATTACACTTTATTACAATTATACATTTAGATTACACTATAATTACACTTTAACCTCTGTTTAAGTACTTAGTAATTAGGGGACTGTAAAAGGAAGTGTTACTGAAAATAGCTCCTTTAGCTCTGTTCAGGGACCCATGAGCCGACCGGAAAGAAAAGAGACTTGGGCTCCCTATCCTGACTTAACGGAAACTATTACAACACCCTTTCCTGTTATTAACCCAAACAGTTAAGTAATTGATGCAAATCTCAGTAGATGAGTGATATTTAAAATGATCTTAGAACTAGATGAAATAGTTCATTTAACTTTGTGCCCTTCTGTTTTGCTGCTTTAACATGAGAGTACATTTGAGACCTGATTACACGATGCTGGTAACTGATCCTGGACCCAGAAACAGGAAAACACAGTCTGAGGACATCACCATTCAGGGAGCGTCTGAAATGAATCCAATTTAGCAGAGCTGGGGGGACTTTACTCAGCCCTGCTCCAGGATGGAGTCTCACTCTTCTGTCACTCAGGGCATTTTAAAATACGACTCCAAACGACGAATCCTCTCCTCTCAGATCTCACCAGAGGCGACGGCCGTAGAATGCCTACGGCCAGAAAAGGCTCTCTTGGCCATCAAGCTGAACAGAAACACAGATTTGTCTGTGCACTCGCTGCTCCTCTTAGCTGAGGAGGACACTGGCACCAAGCACGAGTTCAGACATGACACCAAAGGATAAAAGAGCTCGCTGAGGGTTTGAACTCCAGGCTGCTGTCAAAGGGATGGAGGACAGTTGGGTCTTAATGCAATCCTGGGATATTTGGAAGGAGGCATCTTTGATCTTTTAACTGTTTTATTGAAACAGTGACTTTGTAAGGCCAGTGCAGGTGTATTGACTTTCCATCTAATTGCATCAGAGGCACAGAAGTATAAGTGCTCGGTGGCAAAGGAGGAAAGAGACACCAGTGATTCACCCACTCAACGAGACAGCTCATAAATCTGGAGACATTCTTCAGCTGCACAGATTTATGTATCTCAAACCTCTCCTTTCAGACCAGTGAGCGAAAAACACCTTCCTGAAGTTCAGGTTTGCATACAAATCAAGGCCAAATTTTCCTGGAATGAAAAAAATGAATTAGTCAGTATATTAATCTGAAAGCTGTTATAATACAAATCATAAGTTAATGATAAGTAATAATTAGTTATTAATAAAATGCTGAATCAGTTTTCTACTTAAAGGGACTTTACGGAGTTTTGAATTTTTATGCTCGTGATTGCCCCCTCAGGCCAAAAGCGTAACGGCAGCTTCAATAGGAGGCTCGTGCACGAGGCGCGCATGCTGTACGTGCACACTCCTTAACGAAAATAACAGCTGAGACAGTCCCTTGTGTGTGTGTGTGTGTGTGTGTGTGTGTGTGTTTGTGTGTGTGTGTGTGTGTGTGTGTGGCCCGGAGGACAGAGAACACGAGAATGCACAGCTAATTAATTAAATAATTTGGTTCTGTACCTTTCTCTTCAGCACAGCCGACAAAGGTTTATGATGTCAGTCCTCCTGCATGCTCAGATCATTCCCTTCCCTTGCTTGAAAAATTGTTCCAAAATGAAAGTTGAACCCACATCTTTTTTATCTGTGAATTCAATGCCGTTCGGCGAGTCTCAAATAAAAAATTGGGCATCTTACTGTAAAAAAATACCATTAATGTTAAAAAGAAACTCTAAATAAACTATGTTCGCATCCAGGATCGAACCCGAAAGTCCAACATTTCAAGCTGAAGTGCCAATGATGGCCTTTGTATCTGTAACATTTATATCCTTGATGACAGCTGAAACAACATTCAAAGAACGGTTCGGAGCGAAAATGGCTATTTTGTTGCTAATTTGCAGGAAATATCTAGAAGAAAGTTCTACAGAAAGTAGCTAAGGGTCCTCAGAAATGTAGCTAGCTTTGTCACTAGGCGTTAGGAACAGCGACAAAGTGGCACTGCCTCTCTCTCTGCTGCTAAAGCTACGGATAGCAAATGCTACGGGCGATGCCTGAGCGTGAACACGCATGAAGCAGCCTGCTCGACCCGAGCATCTCTCTTTTTCTGTGATTTTACAGAAAAACAGGCAATCACAGTAAAAATGCCAGGGCTCATTCTACAGGACCAGGGCATTGCAGGAGAATGTATGAAGAAGACATTTATTGTTTCTATACATGTTTTGGCTGTCAAACTTCCATAATGCCCCTTTAATTAGGCCAAATAAATGAAATAAAATACTTTTTTCCCTGACTGTGAAAAGGACAGTGGAGATAAAAGCTCCCTTAAGAAAACACAAAATAAGTTTCTCTGTCCTGCTGGTTGATAGTGGAACTACAACTGTTGTAAAAACCCTGCTGCAGCCTGCTGTAGCTAGTGCTAACAATCAGCTAATCAGTGGCGGCTGGTGAATTGTTTCTTTGGTGGGGTGCAACTTAACAGGTGTGCGGAAAAGAGCGTGCCAGCCGAGATTTGCATGAACTGTTATGGAAAAATGCAAATGAATGACAAGGTTTTTAAATAAATTTGTACTATTAACATGTTTCTTATTTGCTTCCTTATTAAATGATGGTTTATGGGCAGATACATTAAAAAGTGAGAATATTTTGTGGGGGCGAAAAAAAAACACACATATATATATATATATGTATATATATATATATATATATATATATATATGTGTGTGTGTGTGTGTATGTATGTATAATATATAAATCTTTACATTATTTGAAATTCTGAGTCCCATTCTTGGATTGTTAATCCAACAGCAACATAGTTCAAGTAGGCAGAAAAGATTATATAAAAATACACTGACCGACCGGCAACAGCAAAATTGTTCAGTGCTTCATGTTCACCAATAAATGCAAATTAAGCATGAAAAACGAACAGCTCATATCATGAAGTTAAAAGCATTAACTCAGTCCTACCTTTGCTGATTTAAGATTGTAATAATCCATGTTGTAGTAAAAAAAATCCACTTTTTTACATGCAGAAGGGTGTTCAGCAGCCCTGATGCCACATTCCACCATGTTCTGGTTCTTCATAACAGCAAAACTCCATGAGGTGACCTCAGCTGCTCTGCAACACCACAGGACGGTGAACTGTGGAGAATTTCCAGTTCTGTCCTGACCTGAGCTGAAACTCTGCCCTGCCTGTCTTCTGCGTGGGTCTTTGCGGGCGTTAAACCCTGCGCCTAAAGGCTCTCCTATTGTTTGTATTGGGGGGAGGGAGATCCAGCACTACCAGGTCTACGGTAGAGACTGCTGCACCCAAAAGTAACCGGCACTACGACACAGGACAATTTGGTCGTGTGTAAATAACAATTCTAATTTACACTTAAATGCAGATTATACACAGAATTTATAATCTGTATGATGTAGAGATTGTTTAGTTTAATTTTCATGCATTTTTAAAATATTTTGTGATACTTCTTCTTCCCCTTCCTGTGAGACTGATGGGGTGGCACCCTAATGCCCCTTATGGACAAGCTGCCACTGGAGCTAATGCTAACACAAGCCAACTACAGGGCTGCCAGCTCTCACACATTGACCCCTACTGCACACCGGGAGCATCGGCATCGCGGAATCGCAGCACTGCAGTGCACACCGAGAGAGTCTCAGCCAAGAAGCAGCTTCTCTGCTGTGCTCCTCGCTCGACACACGAGATCACAAAATCCCTCGAGTTTATGCCATCCGCCATTAAACCCAAACGAAGTAAATGACATTTGATATCACTGTTTGATGTCATCTATGCTGTTCCTCTCCACCGCCAGGGTTAAAGCCATGACAAAAGCACCGCTGCAGTTCTGGAACGATGCTGAGAGTAAATGAGCCATTAGGTCACTTGTATTCAAGTAAGCTACATAGAAATGAAGTAGAATCACTGCACTAGGCTTTTATTTTGAAAATGAAAGGGGATTTAACACTGAAATCGTGTGAGATTTCCTATCTAGCCAATGTTAACTGCAGAAACTGTCGTGTCCCAGAAGCGGCTCGCGGCAGAAATAGAACCCGATCCCATCTTTAGCGGCGTGCAGCTTCTGGGACGCGTCAGAAAATTGTCGCATTGCAGCTGGTTTGAACTGCCCCCATAGACTGTAATCGACTCTGTTGGAAGCAGTGACGTTCTGCTGCTGTTTCGTGCTGCAGCACGTTCCAGCGTGCAGTAGGCTTGAGCGTGAGACGCATGCGTCTGACCCTCTTCACACAGAAGACATTACTCTCTTACTTTTACTTCCAAGCTCTGCCGCGATGCCAACAAAACAGCAAACTACTACCTGTTGTTCTTGTTGTTTTTGTTGACATTTAGTGGACAGAAAATGCTAACTGCTAGCCTTTTTATTAGCTATTATGTTAGGTGCCATGTTGGATGGAATCAGTGTTACTTTACTTGGTCATGTGGTTCGTCTGTCAGATGGAGCTGCCTTTCGGTTTTGGAGAACTTCAACATTAAGAAGGGAAAGTGGGTGGAGATTAAATAGAAATGTCTACGTGAGCATTTCTGTGGCTGAATGATGAACTGTGGTGCAGATTTAAGCGGGAAATGTGTTCCTTTCAGCTGGAAGCCCCCCAGATAAATGACAATGAAGTTAAACAAAAGTCACATAACTCTGTGATGTGAGGCGAACAGACCCTATAGAATCAGAATCAGAATCAGAAAAGGTTTATTGCCATTGTCAGTGAACAAATAATTCACAAACTAGGAACTTGCTTCGGTACTAACGTGCTACATATAACATGAATAATAAGATTAAAAATAGAATAAAGTAGAATAAAATATAATAAACTAGCATAAAACTTTGCTATAAAAAATGGCAGGTAATGGTAACATGGCCGATAACGTGACGTTATGTCAAGTACCAAAGACGAGCATGGTTGTGTGTTTATAAGCTGTTCACAAGTTTAACTGCAGATGGAAAGAAGCTGTTCTTATGGCTGGAGGTTCTGGTCCGGATGGACCGTAACCTCCTGCCCGAGGGAAGCAGCTCAAAAAGTCTGTGACCCGGGTGCGAAGGGTCAGCTGCTATCCGACCTGCACACCCCCGAGTTCTGGAGACGTACAGGTCCTGGAGAGATGGAAGGCTGCAGCCAATCACCTTCTCAGCAGAGCGCACAATGCGCTGCAGTCTATGTTTGTCCCTCACCGTGGCTCCAGCGTACCACACAGCGATGGAGGAGGTGAGGATGGACTCAATGATGGCCGTGTAAAACTGCACCATCATCTGGGCCGGCAGCTTGGCCTTTTTCAACTGCCGCAGAAAGTACATCCTCTGCTGGGCCTTTTTGAGCAGGGAGCTGATGGATGGCTCCCACCTAAGGTCATGTGTGATGGTGGTTCTGAGGAAGCGGAAGGAGTCCACAGTGGTGACGGGGGTGTCCGTCAGGACGAGGGGGAGAGACGGGGCTGTGACTTTCCTGAAGTCCACAATCATCTCCACTGTCTTCTGAGCATTGAGCTCCAGGTTGTTGCTGCTGCACCAGTACACCAGCCGTTCCACCTCCCTCCTGTAGGCGGACTCATCACCGTCAGAGATGAGCCCGATGAGGGTGGTGTCGTCCGCAAACTTGATTAGTTTAACGGAGTCATAGCTCGAGGTGCAGCAGTTTGTGTACAGGGAGAAGAGCAGAGGAGAAAGTACACAACCCTGTGGGGATCCTGTGCTAATTGTCTTAGCGGTGGAAACATTCTTCCCCAGCCGCACACACTGCCTACGGTCTGTCAGGAAGTCAGTGATCCACCTGCAGGTGGAATTGGGTACGTTGAGCATGGAGAGCTTGTCCTGGAGCAGTCAGAACCCTACAGCATCACTCATAAGGAGGGAGAATATTGCTGCTTTCCTATCTGGAGTGATTTAAATGTTTTGTGTGATTCTGGGATTTCACTCCCAACAGACATTTACGTTTGCAGAACTGTTCAAGTTTTTTTTGTAAAGCCTCTACCTACCCCGAGTCAAGGGGGCCCAAGGTGCTGAAGATAACGTAAAAACAACTAAAACACAATCAATCAGCTATATAATAAAATACAGAAATAAAACAATCGAAGACACCGGTTAAAAACAGCAAAACAATAATGATGATCAAACATTAATACACGAGTATTAAAACTAAGAAACAGATCTAAGATGCACCTTCAGCCTAGCTTTAAAAGTGGGCAGCGATGTGGACCGTCTTGTTTCTAGTGGCAGTTGGTTCCAAAGCCGAGGACCCAGAACTGAAAAGACAAGATCACCTCTGGACTTTCGTTTTGACCGCGGTACCACTGGGAGGTCACTCTGACCCAAATGTAGCCATCTTGAAGGGACATAACGGGTCAGCAGCGAGGCTAAATATGGTGGGGCAGTTCCTGACAAAGCGTTAAAAACAAAGACCAGGATCTCGAAGAGAATACAACATTTCACTGGTAACCAGTCCAACGCAGCCAGGAGGGGAGTGACATGGTCCCACTTCCGTGCTTCAAAAAGAAACATAGCAACAGCATTCTGGACCAGCTGCAGTCGAGTCAATAAGAACTGGCCCAGGCCAGCATACAGCGGCAATAATCTAATCTAGAGATGACAAAAGCATTGGTCACAGTTTTTAATTCCTGTTGTGTAAGGATTGACGTAATCTTAGAAAAGCGCCTAAACTGGTAAAAACACAAACGAACAACAGAATTCACCTGACTACCAAATGTTAGAGTAGAATCTACTTTAACACCCAAATCTGTAAAACAGACTTCTCATAGAGGAGCAGCGATAAAAAGGGCTGGTGGTTATTCGGGGTAAAAGCTATTATTTCAGTTTTGCCCTCCTTCAGAGCCAAGAAATTAGACCCCATCCATTGAGTAACGTCCTGTAAACAATTCACCAGCTGCCGTATGCTGCCACTGGCCTCTTGCTGATTTGGCAAATAAAGCTGGCAGTCATCATCATAGAGATGGAAGCTAATTTTATGTTTCTTAAACAACAGTCCCAGTGGTGAGAGAGAGAGAGAGCAAAAACAGCAGGGGTCCCAAAACCGAGCCCTGGGGAACACCCCACCTAAGTTCAGCGTCTCTTGATGAATAAGAACCAAGGAAAACAGAGGAAGTCCTGTCCACAACGCAGAACCAGAGAGCCCCACCCAGTGTTCCAAGTGGTTCAACAATATCTGATGGTCAACGGTATCAAATGCTGCTGCTAAGTCCAACAGCAGCAGAACCCTTTACAATGTTCATTAGGTCCTCTTTTTAATTATTAAACGAGGTTCTTTTTGCTTCGGACATGAAGGTAACTGGAAACACCTTCATGTCCGAAGCAAAAAGAACCTCGTTTAATAAGCAGCAGAGCCACTGCCTCACCAGCATTAGATGCTATAAGAATAAATCATTACAATTTTTAAGAGGGCAGTTTCAGTGCTGTGTCCGGTCCTGAAGCCAGACTGAAATGGCTCCAAGATGTCATTTAGAGCAAGAAAGGACTGAAGCTGCAAAAACACAACGCTCTCAAGTATTCTGATTGTATTAATAAGAATAATTTGATTTAAAAACTCTGATTCTTGCAAAAACAAGACCTGCTCATATCTGAACAGGGAGAAATGCCATTTTTACTTGTGCTCTACCACTTTGTGTTTAATAGATCTCAACGACACTGAAAATGTTGGAATTATATCACCGTGTATTTAAATAAGCTAAAGTGAGCCTTGATAAGGGATAATTACAGTCAGTGCAACTAGAGCTGCATGCATCTGTTAAACCTAATAAAAACCTCCAGAAAACCTGCAGATGCAGCAGGATTACATGTTTAAAGTGTCTTTGTTTATTTGTTTTCATCAGTTTTATGTACGGAGATCTTACGGACAAGAAGACCATCGACAAAGTCAGGCAGACCTTTGACACCTACGAGTCCAACTGCTTTGAGGTCCTGCTGTACAGAAAAAACAGTGAGTCTTCTTTGAAATCATCTCTTGACTTTGATATTAAAGAAAAATTTAGCATCACCGGATGATTCACTTAATGTCGACAGCACCCTTCTTTTTCTTCTGCAGAAATGTGTAATCATCATCAACCTTCGTCACAAAGGCCAATCGTGTAACAATCGTTGCTTTGACCTGATGAAACGGTGTGCTGTCTTGTTGTAGGAAGTCCGGTGTGGTTCTACATGCAAGTGGCTCCGATCAGGAACGAGAACGACAAGGTGGTTTTGTTTCTCTGCACCTTTAAGGACATAACTCTCTTCAAGCAGCCCATTGAGGATGAAACCACTAAAGGTAGGAGCGTTTTGCTGCAGCAACACATTTTCTCACAGCAATGCTTTATGGGTGCACAGATAGTGGAGCGTGTTTGTTCGAGAGGCTTTATTCTTAGATAAATCACAGAGGAGTTAATAAAAACTGATGTGTTGAGAATTCCCTCATGGATGTTAAATCCAGATGTTCCAGGATTTTTGTGGGTTGTTCATCTTAAAAATGATTAAACATTTTTTACTTAACAAGTCATGCACACAGACTGGTAGAAGTCTGATATTAGGGAAGCAGAAGCTCAGCTCAGGAGGTAGAGCGGGTTGTAGGGTCGATCCCGGCTCCTGACAGAGAATTCTGCTGTTGTGTCCTTGGGCAAGACACTTAACTCGCCTTCTTGTGTTGGTCGGGGAGACCGATGGCGCCTGTGCTCAGCAGCCTCGCCCCTGCCAGTGAGCCCCGGGACAGCTGTAGCTACATCGTACCACCTACAGCGTGTGAATGTGTGTGAGAATGGGTGAATTACACACTGTTGTGTAAAGCACTTTGGAGTCATCTGACTCTAAAAGTGCAGTTTATCATTTCGATGAATGTTGACCCACGCAGGTGTGGTGTTTTAAATGGTAACCATGGGGATTAGCAAAGAGGAATCCTTATTCATTAAGTGATTCTCTGAACTTTGTTGTGTATTTTTTTTGCCCGTTGTGTATTTTTGAGGTCTGCATGTTATTGTGATGTAAATAACGAAAAAAAGACTTTTGTTCAGTCGTGTTAAACGTAAAATAAAAGCCCAAATGTGTCTGGGTAAGAACCGGAGCAGGCGAGTCTTTGTTTCCAGGCAGAACCGGAACTCCAGAACCTGTCAGGTTGTGTTTGAATTGTAATGCTGTCAGGATCACCAAAGATGTGGGTGGTGGTCCTGTCCTCTGTGCCTGGACTAATTCATGGTGCCAGTTTGTTGCCGTTAGCAACATCGCCAGCACCAGTGGCACCATGTCTTCAGAACCTTTTAAAAGGTGTACATACATGTGACGCTGGGTATGAAACTTATATTTTCACACAACTGTTTTCATCATAATTACAGAGGAAAGTATGGGGCTTTGGCCTATAATGGGGGTGTCCAAAGTGTGGCCCATGGGCCATATGCAGTCCTCTGAGCAATTTTGTTTGGTATTTACTTCCTCTAATTTTTCGACAGTTGTGTGGCGGTCTGCCCCGTTGACTGACTGCTGTAGTGATGAATACGTTTGTTGCTCTGAGTGGTCCTAGTACTGTCCATGTCCATCCACCACGACTCACTGGGGATGGAGAAGACAGAGCAGACAGAGCAGACAGAGCAGACAGACAGACAGACAGACAGACAGACAGACAGACACACACACACACACACACACACACACACACACACACACACACACACCAAGTAATGTGTCTATGGTTTAATTGTGATTTCTTAGTAAATATTCTATTTGGTGAGAGATAAACTTTATTGTGAATCTATAATTAAACATGTAAACTAGCAGTAGCACATTCAATGTCAAAGAGAGTAAAGTGTTAATATCAGGAGAGGGAAAAAGTTTAAGTGGTTAGCAGCAGTGTGCTAGCCGATGGCCCCCTCCATGAGGCCACCACAGCTCAGCAGAACATCATTGTAGCTTCTTCTGGGGAGAAAAACACTTAGAGAGAAAATAAAGTTAACAGCTGAAATTGCAGGAAATAGTACAGTTAAAGAGAAGATAGTAGAAGAAAGTAGTAGAGTGCGGAAAGTGGTCAGTATGTCCTCCAGCAGTCTAAGCCTATAGCAGCATAACTACAGAGATAACTCTGGATAACCTAGCCTTTTAGATGGAGGCAGGGCAAGGGAGAGCCATCTTTACCGACTGTACACTCCACCTCCCTCTACTCCCCCACTTGTCCAGATCTGGGCTAACATAGACCCTGTCAAATAAAAATGTTTTAAGCCTATTCTTAAAAGTAGACAAGGTGTCTGCCTCACGGACTAAAGCTGGGAGCTGGTTCCACAGGAGAGGAGCCTGATAGCTAAAAGATCTGCCTCCCATCCTAGTTATATATTATATATATTATATCCTAGATATTCTGGGAACCACCAGTAGACCTGCAGTCTGAGAGCGAAGTGCTCGGTTAGTAACATATGGAACAATCAGGTCACTGATGTATGATGGACCTTGATTATTAAGAGCTTTATATGTGAGAAGAAGGATCTTAAAATCTATTCTGAATTTAACAGGCAGCCAATGTAGGGAAGCTAAGACAGGAGAGATATGATCTCTCTTTTTTATTCTCAGATCAGGTGATTGGGTTAGGGTTAGGGTTAGGGTTAAGCAATTTCCTTTTCTGGATTTCTGGTCAAAAGATGAGAACTTCCGTCTTGTCTTGATTTAAAAGCAAAAAGTTTAGAGTCATCCAATGATTTATGTCCTCAAGACAAGCCTGTAATCTACCCAACCGATTAGGTTCATCAGGGTTAATGGATAAATATAACTGAGTGTCGTCAGCATAACAGTGAAAGTTTATCCCATGCTGTCTAATGATTTTACCAATTGGGAGCATATATATAGTAAAAAGAATTGGTCCAAGCACTGAACCCTGTGGTACTCCACAAGTAACCCTGGAGTATGAAGACGATTTGTCATGTACATTTACAAAATGAAATCTGTCAGACAGGTAGGATTTAATCCAGCCTAACGCTGTTCCTTTGATCCCTGCAACATGTTCAAGCCTTTCTAAAAGAACATTGTGATCAACTGTGTCAAAAGCTGCTCTGAGATGTAACAAGACTAGAACAGACACAAGATTCTTATCTGAGGCCATGAGAATATCATTTGTAACTCTCAGTAATGCAGTTTCAGTGCTGTGATACTCTCTAAAACCAGACTCAAATTCCTCAAACAGAGCATTGGTGTTTAAATGCTCACATACTTGGATGGCCACTATTTTCTCCAGGACTTTGGATAAAAATGGAAGGTTAGATATTGCTCTATAATTCATTGGGTCATCTGGATCCAGACACAGGAGTGACACCTGCTGAGACCTTCTGATGCTAGACTCCATCTGAAGACCTTAGTAGGGACCAGTCCTTATTCAAGCTGCTCTTAGTTGTGATAGCTGTGGGTTCAAATCCCAGATCAGCAGGTTCTGAACTCCACAGCACTTCTCTACATCCACTTATTAAGCGCTTGAAATTTCCCGTTTGGGAATATTTTACCCAAAGATGCTAAAGGAGAAATTCAGGCCGATGGCTCGCCCAACTGCAGAGCTTTCAGAAAAAAGTCATGGTTAAAGCATCCAGCTGTGATCACCTGAATCTCTGAGGTCGTCATGCGTACAAATAAGCTACAACTGGGTCAGATTATGTTTGTGACTGAGTGAGTTAACAGTTCCAGCAAACTAGGGTTCATTTAGCAGTGTTGTACCATGTTCTTCTCTATTCTTGCCCAAATAGTAAACTTATTAGTCAATGTTGGAAGTAAGGATATCAACAAGTAGAAATGATATTTAAGGATCTTCATCGCAATGGCACTAGTAGGAATTTAGCGTCTCATGTAATTAGATGACTCCATCCTTTAGAGTTGACTTGAATAAACGCGTCATGTTCGTTAACCCTGACCAGGTGTCAAAAATTAAGCTTTTTATTTTTTACAGAAACTGAAACAGGCTAACACACTAATCGTGAAACCATGATTATAATATCGTACCACCCAAGTTCAGACCCTCCAGGTTATCTTTCTTCTCCGTTCTGATTTGCTGATTAGATTTCTTTGCACATGAATGATGAGTGATTATTTAGCTGAACATTTGGGCAGAGGTAATTATTCCTTCCCTTGTTTGGTTATGAAAGTTGAACATGAGTGAAAGTCGGCATGTTTTTGAGCTGCCTTGCTTGCACCAGTGCTTTAGCTGTGATTCTAGCTCTATGGTGCACGGAAAAACAGACGTTTATATTTTTCCTCAGCTATAGTCACAGCCAGCACAACACAGCGTTCAGCCCTTTTTGAGGACAGATTTGCTGCAGAACTGGCCGGCTGAGAGCTGTGGGCTGCATTTCAACCCGCCTGGTGATCGGGGTCAGGAGAGGCTGTTGGTGAGGAAGGGAGATGCGCTGCTGCAGGCGCCTGCTCGTGACGTAGACCGACTCCTGCGCTGTGTTTCTGGCTGTTCCCACGGCTCAGCGTGCCACAACATATCAGCATCAGTTGAGTGAGAGGGGTCTGCAATAAAGTGCCATTAGTACAGTAAACATCAACAGGGTTAAAACAACATCCTCCCAGTTCTGATGGATCGGGTTCATGTTCTAACTGGAGGGTTTCCTCCTCCTTTAATCCACCTGAAGCTTTTGTGTTGGGGACTGACGGCAGATCAGGGGCAGTAGATAAATAGTGGCTCAGTAAACAAAAGGAGAAGAGATGAAAACGTGACAAAGCACGGATGTAAAAACATCGTAGAGCTTTGTTTGCTTTGTATGCAGCAATAAAAGCTTCACAGATGGCCAGTACCTGCAGCCTCTGGCGACACATTTCACAAAGTCATCTGATGAGTGTGAGGAGCTGAGGCAGCAGCACGGTCGCCGTCAGGCATCAGGCTGATTGTTGTAGCTGGCTGGAAGCCATGATGTTGTGTAGAGCAGCTGTTCGACCCACATCGAGTTAATGTTAAAAACCAGCTCACAATATGAAACTCTTATTCTGTTGTTTATTTGAAGCGGTTCTGATTTGGATGGAGACGAGTTTAGTGAACACAAAAGTTATGTTCTTGATATTTTCAACCTTTTGTCTCGGTAACAGTCCAAACCGTCTTTGGTACGTTTGGGATTCTGTTTTAATTTGGTTTGATTGCTTTTCACAGTGAAAGTTGCTTCATTCTACAGTCTTCTTCTTCATTCGGTAGGTAGAGAGATGTGGGCGGGACATCACCCGTTGAGCCCGTCTGCACTGATCCTTGCTCAAAACTGTTTTAACTCAGTTAAACTCCGTTTGGCCTCTTGTTGTGTAATCCCTTTTCAGGATTCACTCAGTAGTTCATCAATTTAAGTTCAGCTGCTTCCGCTTTCTGCTTCAATGCTATAACTGAGGTGCACGAAACAGGAATGTAACGGATTACAAAGAGCTTAATCATTCTTTTACTCCATTCAGAAGGAGAATCATCCTTCCATAAGGAACTGGATTTTTATTAATTTTGATTATATGTTTCTCTTGATCTTTTAGTTTTAATGTGTATTTTTAAATTGTTTTTATGATTATGTTTTTTTATGTGGCGGCACTTCGATTCCTTCTTTACCAGCTGTGACAAACGTTCAAATGTTGGGATCCAACAGTGTTTTCTACCTCTCTGGTTGTAGGATGGACCAAGTTTGCACGACTCACTCGAGCGCTCACCAACAATCGAAACACGCTGCAACAGCTGGCACCAATAGGCAAACACGAAGTTAGCCATAAGCAGTCCAGACTGGCGGAGGCAAGTACACACACACACACACACACACACACACACACACACACACACACACACACACACACACACACACACACACACGCACGCACACACACACGCACGCACGCATGCATGCTCGCACGTATGCATGCACAAACACACACACCACACACGCACAAACACACACACCACACACGCACGCACGCACAAACACACACACACACGCACACACACACACACACACACAAATGCACGTGCACGCACACACACAAACGCGCACGCACACACATGCACGCGCACGCACGCACACACACACACACACATACACACTTGTATTTGTATGTTTGTGTGGACCTCCATTGACTTCCATTCATTTTGGTGACTCCACTGTGCCTATCCCTGTGGAAGACCTGATGCTGCTGGGACAGACGGCTCCTCTGATGGCGTTTCCTTGCGTTACCATACTTGGCTCTTCTGGACTCAGCCTAATATAATTTTTACTTGTGTGTGCGAGTCTGTGTGTGTGTGTGTGTGCTTGCATATGTTTGTAAATGTTTTTAACCTGTTATGGGAATCTGGGGTCATTTTGTAAAGCACTTTGAATCACACTTTGTTTGAAAAGCGCTTTAGAAATAAAATTTGATTGATTGATTGATCCCATACCCTAACCATAACCATTGGTGTTCTATTTCAAACCGTAACCTAAACTAACCTAAACTAAAAGCTCTAAGACCAAGTTTAGGGTGCTTCACATTGTGCGGACCAGCAAAATGTCCTCCGACTGAAAAATGTCCACACAGTACAGGTTCAAAACAGACATCAGTGGTGATTACAACGTGTGACTGCAGAAGTAAAGGGGAACAAAAGAGTAAATGAAAAGTCTTGACGGAAGCCACCAAAGCAGCAAAGAGGACAGAGGAGGTAAGCCAGGAGTGGTATGAGTGAGATTATGTTCAGCAAACTACAGCACACGTCTCCTGTTTCTGTTCTGGAGGTGAGACGCACAGTAACATACAGCTCTGAGGGTTCTCACGTACGACAGTTTAGAAGTCCTGGTGACCAGGGTCCATCTGATTGGCAGCTGCGGTGAACGTTAGTGAGGATGTAGCTCCATCTTCACGAAGCTCGCTGCTGTTCTACCGCTCTGCAGCTCCTACTTGGTATTTAACTTTGACTGATTCCCACTGTGAGAGTAATTGCAGCTCACTGGGGCTGACACATCTGAATGTTTCATCAGGAGGGAAGGAAGTCTTTGTATAAGGAGTTCTTCAGCGCTGATGCTCTGGCCTGGCATTTGTGGTGCAGTGTTGATAAAATCAGATCTGATAATAACCTGAAATCATTAGTTTTTCTCTAAATACATGTGTCTGCAGCCTTTATGACCAAATGATCAGGTAATTCAACCACTGACTCAGGTGTCGAAGCTGAGAACTAACACATGTAGGACACGATTCAACAAACCCTCTAAAGAATTCCATCGACGACCGATTACTGAGTATTTTTTCTTCCTGTCTCCAGGTTTTGCAGCTGAACTCCGACATTCTTCCACAATACAAGCAGGAAGCGCCGAAGACGCCGCCCCACATCATCCTACACTATTGCACCTTCAAGACCACCTGGGACTGGGTGATCCTCATCCTCACCTTTTACACAGCCATCATGGTGCCCTACAATGTCTCTTTCAAGACCAAGCAGAACAACATTGTTTGGCTGGTGCTGGATAGCGTGGTGGACGTCATCTTCCTGGTCGACATCGTTCTTAACTTTCACACCACCTTTGTTGGTCCTGGAGGAGAGGTGATATCTGACCCCAAACTCATCCGCATGAACTACCTGAAGACCTGGTTCGTCATCGACCTGCTGTCCTGCCTGCCCTACGATATCATCAACGCCTTTGAGAATGTGGATGAGGTACAGTAGCCCTCCCGCTGGTCTCGTTGCACGACTTACAGTGACACATCTGCCATCTTACAGTGACACATCTGCCATCACTGAGCGGTCACATGATTTTTTGTGGGAGAGCCATTAGCGTCTCTTCAGTGAGATGTGTAGTCCTAATAGTTCAGGTTTAAAGGACCTTTATCATGCCATTTTAAACCTATCAGATAGGCCCATATATGGTTAATTTACTGCCTTTGGCACAATGGAGATGTCATTTGTTCTGAAATGTAATTTTTTTCTTGAGACATTTTATCAGCCTGGAAATCTGATGAAATCCCGCCTCATTCCACCCATTTATACCATAACCCCAGATCCCCAGCAAAGCTTCATGGAGCACAAAGAAAAAGAAATCAGCGCGTGCAGCAACACAAACACCAGTGGTGAACTGGCTATTGGATAGCTACATGGAGAGAGTGGGCATTAGTGTGTACAGTCCAGGAGAGGTGGGATCTAGATTCGACACTACCTAGATGGAGAGGAGTGGTGGAATGATGATGCAATAGTTTTGCTGAGCTTAAGAAAAGCTGCAGCTGAGATAGGCAAATGCATGCGTGAAGCCAAAAACCACTTTGGGGATGTTTTGCAGGAGGAAATAACAATAAAACATGGTCACACATTCTGTAGGACCTTTAAAGCAAAGATGCCTCACAGAACATTAATAAAATGATAAATAAGGTGACTTTGGATCATTTTCCCAGGTTCAAGTTAGAGGAATATTTTAGAACAGAGAACAAAACCCATTTCTGAGGTGTGAAGTTGAATGGAGATGAACCGTTTATGAACCAGAACATTTGAGGCCAAACAAAGAAGTGCAGGGCAATCCCGGCAACCATTAGCTGTGGTGTTGAAACCTTTTGTGGTTTCTGATCTGACAGGAAAAACAATAACTGTTTACTTCGTTTCATGATGAAACCACAGAAGATTGTTGCTCCGTTTTTGTTTCTCTGACATTTTTTTGCTCCTTAGATGAACTTCAGATCGGCGTTTTATAAGATGCTCAGATGTGTTCTGTGCATTTTTCACAGCTGCTTACTCTTATCGGACATGACCTGAAGTCCATTAGTGGGATTTTCCACTTCATTTCGAACATAACAAATGAAACTTCAGTTTGAGTGAAATAAACAATCAGTCAAGCTCACAAAAGGAGTGACATGTGAAGGTTTCACTTTCAATCACTTTTTGTGTTGTTATACTTCAGCTGGGCTTCACAGTGGCACAGTGGTTGGTGCTGTTGCCTTGCAGCAAGGTGGTCCTGGGTTCACATCCCGGTCTGGGGTCTCTGTTAGGAGTTTGCATGTTCTCCTGGTGCATGCGTGGGTTCTCTCCGGTATGCCGGCTTCCTCCCTCATTCCAAAAATCTGACTGTCAGGTCTTTGTAGGCAACAGCCCTCCCGCAAGCCTGTGTGGAAAAGTGGTTTAAGAAAATGGATGAATGGATGTATTTCAGCTCACCTTAGGTGTGTGTGTGTGTGTGTGTGTTGTAATAATGTGTGTTTTGTCAGTGTGCAGATTTTTGTAAAACCCCATAGAGGACCTACTCTTGCCTGCGTGTTTGAATCTTATACAATTACTACTGCTGCCACCATAACTCGTGCATCTGGTCCCCGATAGTGTATTTACTAACGTGTTTATGTATTTCAGAGACTTTACTTGATCTTCATTCTCCTCCACCTCTTCATCCGGCCGCAACCTCCAAACCCACATTTCATGTCATTTCCATTCATGTTTGCTCTGTATTTTGTACTCTTTTGTTTTTCTTTTCCAACGTTTATTTCATGTAAAAACATAGTAACTTTACCAAATAATAAAAGAATGAATACAACTTACAATACTCCAATGGAAAGGAGCAGATAGGAGAAAATCTTATATGTAATCTGCCCCATTCACACCATTAGCAAAAAAATAAATATGCTCACTAAAAATGACTAAGACAGCTGCCACTGATTAACTAACAATCCTTCAATGCTGTTTCAACACATTAGTTCTAAATTATTGCTGATCAACGCAGAAAATCAAAATCAAAATAAAAAAAATACACCCCACATTATTCCATATCATTTCTTAACACATAGTTTTTTACATTAACTCTGTTTAAACGTAATTGATTTGACCTCTTTCATTACGAACTCCAGACTGTTCCTGTACTGCTTCAGTTACGGGTGAATAAACATTCTTATTTTCAGACTTTTTCAGCGATGCGTTTTTCTATCTGAAATGGGTCTGCCGTTAGATATCCTCTTCATTTGTAACGGGGCAACGGCGGTGCTGGTGTCGGATTTACAGGAAGCGACGTCCTGACCAATCAGAAGCTTGCGGTCTCCGTTACCTTCGAGTGACTTTTCTAATTTTGAGCATTTCTCCGTCACCCTCTGTGAGCCTGTTGGAGAACCCATGCACTGACGCATGATGGCGTTCCCTGTCTTTGCATCGACGCATGATGCTGTTGCGTGTCTTGGCACAATGCATGATGGCGTTGCGTGTCTTTGCACCGACGCATGATGGCTTTGCGTGTCTTTGCACCGATACTTGATGGTGTTGCGTGTCTTTACACCGACGCATGATGGTGTTGCGTGTCTTTGCACCACTGCATGATGGCGTTGCATGTCTTCGCACCGACATATGATGGCGTTGCATGTCTTGGCACCGAAGCATGATGGCGGTACTAGTCTTCACACCAAAGCATGATGCCATTGCTAGTCTTCACAACGATGCGTGATGGCATTGCGTTTCTTTGCACTGACGCATGATGGTGTTGTGTGTCTTTACACTGATGCATGATGGCGTTGCGTGTCTTTGCACCGATACTTGATGGCATTGCATGTCTTCGCACCGACACATGATGCCGTTGCGTGTCTTGGCACGATGCATGATGGCGCTGCCAGTCTTCGCAACGATGCATGATGGCGTTGCGTTTCTTCGCACCGATGCATGATGGCGTTGCGTTTCTTCGCAACGATGCATGATGGCGTTGCGTTTCTTCGCACCGATGCATGATGGCGTTGCCTGTCTTCACACGATGCATGATGATGTTGCTAGTCTTCGCACCAAAGCATGATGGAAAAGTATAAATCAGACTTCTTTGGTATGTACTTGCTGTGTCTAGTTTCTAATTCCATTTTAGTTCTTTTTATTTATTTATTTTTTCTTTTTTACATAACACAGAAAAAAACATTTTTTTGTTATAAAAGAGAACTAAAAATGGAATAAATCAGACTACAGGCTTGGGGAGGCTGAAACATAGATGTTAGGAAAGATTTATTTTTGGACAAAAAGAACCACAAAAGATTGAAAGCAACAGCTGGGATGATTCAGTTTTGTGCATCTTATTTAAAATGTGTCTGTAAAGTGTAACACACCAAAGGGACACGCATTTCATCAAAATTACCAGAAGTTAACTTTCTAACATACGTGCCATGCTAGTAAGTAAGTAAGTAAGTACACTTATCACAGACATCGAAGCCCAAAGTGCTTCACATAGATCAAAACAAAATAAAATAAAGTTATAAAATCATAAATAGATTTACATCATAAATTCAAAACAGAAATAGATTAACATCAGAGAAAATAAAGTCATAAAATTATAAATTTTCATAAACAGATGAAAGATAAAAAATTTGAGTTAAAAATAAGAAAATAAAAGGTTTAGTTAAAAGCAGCCTTAAATAAAAGGGTCTTCAGCTGTTGTTTAAAAGTGTCCAGACTGTCGATGCTGCGTAAGGATAAAGGAAGATCATTCCAGAGTCGGGGTGCAACAGTCCGGAAGGAACGATTACCTCGACTTTTGTATCTGGTCTTTGGAACTTCTAGAAGGTTCTGGTGGGTGGACCTGAGGGCTCGGGTTGGAGCATAAGGCTTTAACAGTTCAGTAATATAGGGAGGAGCTTGACCATGTAGAGTCCTGAAAGTTCTAGTCAGGATTCTAAAATAAACTCTAAAGTTAACGGGTAACCAGTGCAGAGACATTAGCATAGGAGTGATGTGAGCTCTTCTGTTTGCTCCAGTTAGGAGCTTCGCTGCAGAGTTCTGGACCAACTGAAGGTGGTCAAGGACTTTTTTGTTAAAACATGTGAAGAGTGTGTTACTGTAATCTAGACGGGAGGAGATAAAGGCATGGAGAACCATTTCAAGTTCATGTTTTGACACCAACCTTCGCAGTTTGGAAATATTTCTTGAATGATAAAAACAGTTTCAGACCAATGTTTTGAGTGACCTTCAAGAGACATTGATTGGTCAAAAATAACACCCAATTTTCTTAAAGAGCAGGTCAAGTGTGCCTCGGAGTCCTTCTCCACCCACGTATCAATTTAAAAAAATGCAACATTAGTAGGCGTTGCCTGGAGGACCGAGAGGGCGGAGCCGCGGCAGTGACGAAGACAATGGCTAACTAGACGAAGCTAGCTCCCTTCACTCTGAGCAGTTATTAGAAGTGGAGGACGTTTCTCACCCTCCTTACCCAGACACTCGAGAAGAAAGGGACCAAGTCTATTTGGAGGAGACAAGCGGACCTGAGCCTTATTGTTTTGAGCTTGTGAGTTGCCTGAAACTAGCGGAACCGACCCAACAGAACCAGCTCTGAATGGTAAGTAGCCGTTAGCCATAGCATTGGATTAGCTGCAGGGTTTGACTCCACTGCCCTAAAAAGCTAGTATTCAGCATGTTTTAGAGGTTTATCTGCTTCAACACACCTGGTTTTAATCAGCAACAAATAGCTGAGCTGCTGAACAGCTAATCTAACCTGTTAAAGCAGGAAAACCACTGAAACATGCAGGATAGCAGCTGTCCAGGAGCCCTGGGCTCAAGTTACAGTCTGCTGCATAGAAAGTTATGAAAATACCCAATGAGAAAATTATTCTGTAATTTGTTCAGCTCACTAAAACTGCCCTGATTTATTTATTTACTGATAACAGCTGCTCTCTTGGTTCTAGGTCCTCTGGTGTCTGCAGCTGGTCTGGTGTTGTCAGGATCAGGAG